AGCCAACAGGTTTTGTATGGATGGCAGCAACAGATTTTTGGTTCCAGATAATCTGCCAGACAAGATGGAGGTTTCCAGGTCCCTGTTCACTTATACCCACAACCACTCTGCTGAGCAGAGGATCGACTATCAGTATCCAGCACATTGATCCAGATCATTAAACTGAGGGCCACAGCCTCCCTGCACAGTGATAAGTGCCCTCGTAATCAGCTGAAATGAAAATGCAATACTCTGGCTCTTCATGATCATGAGGCATATTATAACAAAGGGGCAGAGATCATTGCATTTAGCTTAGCTAGGGGCAACCGGAAGCCAGCATTTTGCACCATTCAAAACCACAGTGGTCAAGAGGTTGTGGGATGGATAGGAGGAGTGCTGACCAGCACTTGGGTTAAACTCAGGTAGCTAGGGGGTTTTGGCAGGAAGTCAGGAAAGCTAATGGGAAAAACAGTTGACATTTAAATTGAATAGATATACTGGCCTGCTATTCCTTTGTGTGATTTTTGTAAGCTAGGAGCTGGGGGAAACAAGATGAATTAATCCAGGCAAAACTACCATGCCTTCAAGGAATGCTGGGCTTGTAAATGGATTGGACCTGGAAGTACGGCTCATAAGTAGATAGGGAAATGTATATTTAGTCGCGATCAGGATCTTTTTCTTTGTTTTGTTGTTTGGTTAAACTTCTCCATGCTAAATCCATTTGTCCCGGCCACCCCCCACCCCCATTCGCTATATCTAAGCTGCACCCAGAGATATTATGTTTCTCTGTGTTTTACTTTGTTTTTACTCAGTTGCTCTGTAACACCTAGAAACCAAGTATGCTTTATTATATCTATCTTTTTGTTTTGTTAATAAAAATCACCCTTTTTAAAGTGAGGGTTTGATTCTTGTGTCCTGGAAGGTAACAGGACATGCCTAAGACTGAGAGGTCAGCTATCAGAGACTGCAGTTTGTTTTCTGTTTTTCCCAAGCTCTCTTGAGGTAAAAGAGCTGGGGGGGGGGGGGG